AACAGGTACCCCCTCATCTCTCAGAGATGAGCCAACCCGAACCAGAGACTTTTCATCTCCTGTCGGCTTTCCCCCAGTATTCAGTTTAAAAACTGGTCTACCACCTTTTTGATTTTAAGCGCCAGCATCCTGGTTCCTTCTCGAGACAAGTGGAGACAGTCTCTCCCTCTTGTTCCAAAAAGCACCCCAGTGCCTAACAAACTTGAAACCTTCCCCCCTACACCACCGTCTCATCCACGCATTGAGACTCCTGATCTGTGCCTGTCTCTCACTGTGCGTGGAACAGGTAGCACTCCTGAGAAAGCTACCTTGGAGGTCCTGGACCTAAGTTTCCTGCCCAGCAGCCTAAATTTCTCCTCCAGGACCTCACAACTGCATTTCCCCACATCGTTGGTGCCGACATGCACCACGACCACTGGCTCCTCCCCAGCACTATCTACCAGCCTATCTATACTTTTGGTAGCCAGTTTCAAAGTAGATGCATATGAATATCCTGTTTTTCCAGTTTCCCCTAGTATAGTTATATTGCTTACCCTGAATCAGAAACAGCTAAAACCGAGGTGGTTTTTGTACTGGCAGGTCATCAACTTCCTTCAACAGCACTGTTCTCTGTTTCCCAGAAGGACTGATGGAGGAAGAGCTGTACTATGTTGGGTGGCTTAGCACATCCATTCAATTGATGATGATTTATTGGATTTCTACCCCGCTCTCCCAGCCAGGCCAGCTCAGGGTGGCTTACATAAAATCAGCATATAGGTTACAATAAAACATAAGATATAAATTACAATTAAAACAACTCTAAAACCATTTAGACCATGCAACATAATAAAGTGCTAGTGTCGTTGATTTATCAGTGGCCGCTGTTACTCAGTTCTCTCTTCTTGCAGTCGGCTCCTTGATCTTCTTTTGGTTGTCCTATCAGCAGCTAGCTCAAGCTGTTGTTGAAAATTCCAGGGGGAAGCAGGGCTCTCTATCCTTCAACTGTCAATTGTTAACGATGGTACTGCAGGGTAAATTCACTCGAGTCCCAATGCATGAATGTATACGCCCATGCATGGCTAATATGGTGGAATCAATTACTCATGTCCTCCTGTTCTGCAGATTCTATCAGGAGGAACGAGACCATCTTATACTACCCCTTCTGTCTAGATTTAGCCCTTTGCAGTCTTATCTTGACTTTAGGCCAGAAGTCCTTCGTAAATTCCTCTTAGAAGACGTTCAGAGCTCAGTGACTTACGCTGTGGCAAAATTTTGTTGCTTAGCTATTAGGAAACGTAAACTTATTTTAGCTGAAAAAATTGTATGATTCTTTTATTAGCACTATTTTACTTTACTAAATGTTATTAACTCCTGTTAATGTTTTTATATTATTCCCATGTTATTACTGTTTTAATCCCTTTTATATCAGAATTGTACTGTTTTACTGGCTCCTGCCGCAATAAATTTGATTGATGGAATTGTTAACGATGGTAGTTAACGGTGGTGGCGGCTCCAAAGGCCTAGTGGCTCCAAAGGCCTTATTTGATCCCAGCTATGGCAATGCAAAAATCTGTGATTTTGTTCACAGTCTTAGTATTCTGATTTGCAGACATATCACAAACAATGCAAACGACATTTTTAATGCGAATAAGCTTGAAATCCTTGGGATTACATGGTTCTTCCCTCTTCCCCTTCTCTGTCCAGAGCAGAGATTCAATACTTCTCTGATTTAGAAAGCCTTTGATTTTACTATAGTTCGTTGACATGCTCCAATTCAGGCATGTACAATGAGTTTGTTGCTTGACCATAACCTGGGAGTCTAAAGTTTGATTTACTTGTAGGGCTTTATTGCAAGCCCAAGCACTAATCTTGCCTTCTTTTGTCAGTGTTTGTCATGATTTGTGTAGGACTAGGAGACACGGCCTAGAGGCTTAGGCCTAGGAGACCTGTGTGGGAGTGGAAAGCAGACACAGCCTACAATCCCCACAATGCTTAGCGATGGTTGTAACCAGTTGGTGTCCAGGGATTGTGTGAGGAGATGTGACTTAAGCTGTGTGGTCTATGGAACTGCGTTCTTTTCTCTACTGTGTTCTTTTCTCTAACAGAGTTAAAACTGAGGGGACAGTCTGGTCTGAGAGAAAGATCCCTCACTTGGGACAGAGTGAGTACAGGCACAGGCCTGGTATAAAAGGCTGTGGGCCTTGAATAGTAACCAGTTAAGAGAAATAGGTAGCCGCGTTAGATTTGTTTCTTTTACCTTTAGACACTGTTATATATTTTAAGCACCTTGTCTTGTTTTCCTTGCCCCATTACTGTATTAATCAACCTGGTCTCTGCCTGGTCATCATGCCTATATTTCTTGGCTTAAAAGGGGAAATTTGGTTGGGAGGGTACTCTGGGCCTTCCCAAAGGACCCTAAGTCTAGTGTGGTGGCAGAGGAAGGTGGCAACCCACTAGGGGTCATGACAGTGTTAAAAACAAATTTTATAATTGTCTCTTGAACTATTGATGAAGGACTTGGTGTATACTGCATGCATTTAATATACTGACACCAAACATAGTCCCCAAACTGTTATACATTAATAGTTGCAGCAAACAGCTGTCTACATATTCTGTCTCTTAGGCCCCCTATGCATGTGGTTTACTTTATAGATTGCATGCACTGAGGGAGAAAGAGCAAAAAAAGCACATTTTTAGCTGAAGGAAAAGTTTTTGGCAAGCCATTTCTGCTAAACAAGTAGTAATTCTAAAGAGAGAGTAATCAAAGTAATTTTTTTTTTTTAGGCTAGGAGTAATATAATTCTCTTTACCTTCATGGGGAAGAGGGAGAGAAGGTGGCGATGGCATGAGCCCTGTTTGTGCTCAGGCTTAGGGTATTCACTACTCAATTCTTGGTGAGATGTTTGACTCCCAAAGTGCAACTTTCAGCACATCTGGTGGGGTTCTCATGGCATGTTTCCTGTGCTTTTTATTCTGAGCTATAGCACTTAGGTGAGAGCTCAGGCCTTTGTGCTAGATAGGATGGATTCTCACTAATGCTAGTCTTATAAAGAAAACAACAGTCTTGTGGCATCATAAAAACTAACAAATTTATTGTGGAAAAAGTTTGTGTAAGACAGATGCATTGTCAGATGCATGAGGTGTTATAAAAGTGATCCCTTAATATTTTTTCTTACTGTGTTCCTCAAAGTCTGAGCTCTTTGTAATCACATATATACGATTAATACTGTACCTTTGCACACTTGATACTCTACAGCTGTGTTTTGCACTAATTAATAGTCTAGTCACAGATTATATTCTTGTTAGCTAATTTGACCACCAATTTTTCATACAGTGGCTTACAAGGGACTAATCACAAGGTATTAACATGAATATTTTTTTAGAGCAAGTTAAAGAAAGACAACCTGAAAACCTGGAGGAATGGCAAAGAGATGTTCAAGTACAGCACCAAGAAACCTCTCTCCTAGCTCAGATGAAAGAGGAACAAGCAAAAGCAATGACTTTTCTCAGGTATAGAGTAACCCCTACATTTATGAGATAAGTAACAATAACATTTGGCATTGCTATTGATAGTATACTGTTGAGCCCAATACCATACGTACCACATGTGACGTGACTCTAGTTGTCAGATATTCCCAAGTTTCTCCAAACACTTGATTTCCTCCACATGTTATGCTCTCACTCTTTAATCACTACTTATTTTCTGTTCCAACAGAAGACAAATAAAGCAGCTTGAGGTCACTCAGCCCCAAATGTTGCATCATCTGGAAGAAGGCAAGAGCGAGGAAGCAGTGGAAACACAGAATGAAAATGAAGGGTTTAAGAAACACCTAGTTAAAGAGGAGAGAGAATTAGCAGAAATAAAAGTACGTTGTATTCTGTACAGTGACTATGTCCAAGGTCTTGATTTAATATTTCAAATGAGTGTGTAGAGCTGGCTGCCAAAGAAGAACCATTTATTTATTACTGTTCCTGTATCTTTGAAAGTGTGCCATTAAAACCAGTAGTACTTATTACCAGGAATTTGGGACTGGGGTGTAGAACACAGAATTGGTGGATGAATATACATGGATACATGGAGTTGTCCTATGTGGAATCGGACCATTGGTCTACCAAGGTCAGTAATATCTGCTTTGACTGACAGTGACTCTTCAGGGTATCAGACAGAGGTTGCCAGCTCCAGGTTGGGAAATCCCTAGAGATTTTGTGGTGGAGTCTACGGAAGCCAGAGTTTGGAAATGGGAGAGGCCTCAGTTGAATAGAATGCCGTAGACTCCATCCTCCAAAGCAGTTATTTTCTCCAGGGGGAGACCTAGGTTCTTGCTGTGGAAGCTGAGTGGGTCACAGACTTTTAGCCTAAACTACCTCACAGGGTTGTTGTGCAGATCAAAAGGGGGAGAGGAGAATTATGTGAGCTGCTTGGTCCCCACTGTGGAGAAAGACTATACTTTACCTAGGTAGCAGCTGCAGGGAGGGGAACGGAGATGGAAACCTGAAGTCAGAGGGGCAGATAATGGTACATTGATGGCTGGCTGGGGAGGGAGTTTCTAATAGGTAATTTACAAGGGGCTAACTGGGAAACAGGAGAGGGTCTCATGATTTAACCCTGGTCCTTTGCAAATTTCTTCGTTTTCTCTTGCACACCTGTCTTTTTAATAGATGCTAAGGAAACAAATATCAGGGCTACAGGAGGAGATTAGGAGAAATGAGTCTCACTGGCATGCTGCCCATTGTGAGCTGAGAAGTCAGGTAGAAGCCTTGACCAAACAGAACCTGCAGTTTCAAGATGAACTCAGAGTTTCCAAGTATCAGAGTGTGGGGGCCAAAAGAAGACATGGACCTGTGGATTCTATTGAAAGAGGAGCTGAAGCACCGGTACTTTAACCTGACCTGTGGCTTGTTTTTTATTTTCCTTTGTGCCCCTCCTTCCCAATGTCTGTTTCAGATGGACTGTAGCTTGCCTTTAATGCAGCCAGTCAAAAGATCTGCTGATGGGAAGGATTACTGTTCCAAACTGTTGCTTCCTAGGGCAGGGATTGTGTTTTGCTGCAGTAGATGAATGGAGGGTAGCTTCAGCCATCTGTTAGCAGATCCACTTGCAAGGAGTCACTGAAAACCTGCTCTGAGGAAAAGCAGGTTGGATCCTTGCTTCATTAGTGATGGGCTGACTTTTATTTGCTCTTCTCAGAAAAGCTCACCCATCCTTTTCCCAGTAAGAATTTGGCTGGTGCAAATGCACTCTTAATTTTCATGTTTAAAATTAATGTACATAGATCAGTTTCACTATTGCATGTGAAACATTTTCTGTTAGTTGATAAATTGCATGTACACCACAAGTGGAAAATTCATGGTAATGATGCCGAGGAGGTTCCCTATTTTAAATACTTAGGGGTCTGGTCTGACCAGAGATTAACTTGGCCAGTGCAAGCTGCTCACGTTAAAGGACTGGCTACAGCAGCATCAAATATTATCTGCTGTTTCTTTTATTCTTCTGGGGCTCAGTACATCCCAGCCGCCATGAAACTGTTTAATGCCAAGATGGCTGTGCATAGTTTATAAGGGGCTGGTATCTGGATTGACAAAATAGGCGAGTCCTCTGATTCAATTCTTCTTAAATTTCTACATTCCTTCTGTGGAATTCCAAATCGTGTAGTGGGGGTAGCCCTCCAAGCTGAATTGGGATAACCATTTCTTGAAGTTCGCTTGGTTGAAGGCTTTCCCCCTTAAAGTTAAAACTACACTCTGACATCTAAGAGGGCATCAACTTAGTCAGAGGGGACTCTTATGTTTCCCATTGGTATAAACTTGTTGTACAATGGCTACAGTTCCTCAATCTTTTTTTGGACTCCCGTTATTCAGTTACCAGACAGGAAGCCACGAGAATGATTAAGAAATGTCTATTTAAGTATGATTATAACAGTACAATCTGTAGAGAACAACTCAGTTTGTTGGTATTCTCCCCCCCGGAGAACTTCCCAATTACTGCTCATATTTGATTGTTCCTCACTATAAGTATGGATTTATGTTGGCGTGCCTTAATGCCCTGCCATCTAGAGTGTTCTAAGAGAGGTATCTTAAGATACGACTGTGGTGCAGGTAGTGTCGACACCCTGTATCATGTGATCTTTGAATGCAATAATTCTTCTGAGCCTAGAAATCTTTTTAATTCTTCATTTGCTCCAAAATATAGATCACATGGAGACATTACCTCTTTTATGAGAAGATAATAGCAGACCCATCATACTTTAGCCACAAAATTTAATGCATTTGTGGTAGATTTTTGCAGCTGTTCAAATGGGGTCTAGCTTTTTCTATGTTTTAGTAATCTGCTTAAAAATAATAAGCTAAGAAGCAGTATGAGGTAGAGAGAAAACAAAGAGACAATTGCAATATTCTCATCAGGTTTTGGCAGCTGTTCAGGAAGGGGCATCATTCCATAATATGCTGGAAGAGAGACCATCGCGTGGTAACCATAGGAGTTGGATCAATATGCATGTAGGTAGGATGAATTGGTCCCTAGGAATGAGAATATACAAGCAGGACATGAGAGCATGATGTACTAAAAATGCTTCTGGTGTTGGACAAGGGAGACTACGGCTGCGGTCACACGTAACAGAAGCCACACAAGTGAGACGGAAAACAGGCGGAGTTTCCAGGCGCGATCTCACCAGCACATCTGGGAAGCGTAGCACTCCCGTGGCTCAACCGAGGCTTCCAGCCGAAACTGCGTGGCAAAAAACTAGTACCGTGGAGGTACTAGTTTCTGGAAACTGCGGGGCAAGGGCGGGTGTCTGATCGCATTTCTGGTGGCATTCGGTGCCCGCCCATGTCCCCTTGCAAATAAGGTGTTTTTTTTTGTCCAAGTCTCTGTGGATGCGCATGTGCACCCAACGGAGCATGCGCATTTGTCATGTACACAAAAATAAAAAACAGTTTGCCGCGGCGCGCGCTTCTTCGTTGCGCGCCGGCTTGTCCTGTGATCGGCACCTCTCCCTTGCCATGGAACCTCCACGGTACCTCCACAGGACCTCCACAGGAGGTCTGATCGCGTAACTGCGCAGTAGTTTGCCCCAGGGCAAACAGCCACACTTCTCCTCTGCAGTTTCCTGCCCGTGTGACCGGGGCCCTAGTTTCAAATCCACAATGTGAAAATACAACAGCATTTTATTTTCTGGCGGTAATCTTCTGATGACAGCACAAGATTTCATTGTTTTCTAGGCAACAAGAAGTTCACTGCAAAGGTCTGAGTCACTGAAACCTACATCAGGCGCACACAGAGAGAAGAGCCCCCCTAAAACTCTTCATAACCAAAATGTGACACCTACAGGTCGGAGGACACTTCATCAGCCACCCCTTGAAGTAATGCAGAGTCTCTGAATAGTCTTGCTTATGCTTATTTAATGTTTATTAATCTTCCCAAGGTACCTATGCCACATGTGTCCTGCAGCATGGATTTCAGAAGTTTAGGGAGCAGGAAGGTTAAAAAGGAAGAGGCCTGCTAGCATGTCTGAACAGAACACAAGGGGTGCCTAAGAGATGACTGAGATATTAAAACAAGAGCCAACAAAGCCCAAGTGACTTACACTTTCATGCCTAAGGGGCTTTCCTCGGGCCTCGTGAAACATATATGCGTTAGGAGCTCCCAGTTGAAATTTAGATTTTCTGACACATGGGGGCAGACTAGGATTATACCTACAGTACATTGGAAGAAGAAACTTTTGCCCCCGTTTGCTCTTGCATGTTGTCAACAGTATATGGATGTTTCCCCAGTGTAGAAAATCATGGCTCCCCAGGGCCATTTTTATTAGCTGAGTGAGTGAGTCTTTTGTTCATGAAGATCCATACTTTGAGGTGTAGCCAGTTAAAGAGAACATAGTATTTATTTAGGGAAGTTACTCTGGTAGAAAGAGAGTTAAGCATTCTAGCTAAAGGGTTTACTGGAAGTAAGTTTGAGAGTTGCATTCTGAGGACAAACACCGTTTAGCACAGGGGTGTCATACTCATTTGTGATGGGGGCCATATCTGACATAAATGAGACCTTGGTGGGCCTGGACATGTGTAAACTATAATGACAGGTAGCAGAAATATAAACTTTATAAAGGACACAGACAAACAAAATTAAAGATTTTAAAAAACTTTAAATAAAACATGCTTAAACACTAGCACTCTTTCAATATTTTATCTGTTTGACAGTCTCTGTTAACTGACACCTCTTACTCTGAATTACTGCATCAAAATGTCTGTGCTGTAGCAATCTTCAGTATGCTGTTCAGGTGTGTATCTGTAAGCTACAAACCTACTTTTGACTTATTGATTTTCATTATAGAAATTTCATGCTCAGTGTTCCGAGCCTAGGACCCAGGGGAAAACATGAAATGGCTGGGCATTGCGAACTTTTGTACATAAGTTGCTTCATGTGCTGGTCAAGAACATGAGAAGGCATCCTGACACAGACTGAGGGCTGTTTGTTTGTCTACCAAACTATAGTCTTCCCCAGATAAAGAACTACAACTTCCTACAAAGGAAATGTGCTGGGTGAACTTTGTCTGGACACACACTCTCAGCCTAATTCACCTCACTGGCTTGTTGTTATTCCTCCTCTCAAATAGTTCACATTGCTTTCTTACTGAGAAAGACTGGATCATGAGGGCATGAACACAGTGAAAAGGGGGAGGGAACCCTGGCATAAGGAGCCCAACAAAACACACTTATAAGGGGCCCAACAGAATACACACACACTGTAGCAAGGCACACAAAAGCTCATTGAACAAAATTTTGTTGGTCTTAAAGGTGCTTGGTATTTCTCCCATGAAATTGAGGCAGCCCAGCAAAGCAAGCTCTCCCTCGTTCCCTCCTTCATTGCCTCCCTTCAGGGAGGAGCCTCAGTCAGTGGAAGGAAAGAAAGGCTTTCCTTTGTCTCCTGTATACAATTGAGGCAGCCTGACCAGGAAGCAAGCTCTGGCTGGTTACCAGACTACTTGACAGGTGGCTAAATTCTGTGCTCAGATTACAAGCATCGAAAATCCCTTTTGGCAGCATGACTTCGTAGTTATTTGGCATGAATTTGTATGTTTTCAAGACTTAATGTTATCTCTTTTTATCTTTATCTCTTTTATCTTAAAATTTTTTTTTCAACCCAACTGTATTGCTGGTTGCTGGCTTTTGCATTTCTCAATCAAACTGTACTGCTGGTCCCTGACTGTTGTAATAAAGTGAAAGCTCTGGCTGGTTCCCTCCCACCCCCCAGGAGGAAGAGGGGGAGGAGCCTCAGCCAGTGCTTTACCAGACTCTTTCAATTGCACAGGAGAAGCTTGCCTATCTATCTCTTCTGTGCGATTGAAAGAGTCTGGAAAAGTAGGCTGTGATGTAGCAGCAGCAGCAGAACTGGAAAAGGAAGCAGGAAACAGCCATGGCCTTGTGGTATGGATTGCAGCCCTTTGAGGGCCTGATCCAGTCCCCAGGCTGCATGTTTGCCACCACTGATTTAATAGTTTAGTAGTAGTGGCCCCCATGTCCTTAATTGCTTTCCCATTTGCTGCCCCCTGCAGATGATTCTTCTTTTATATACTTACCATTGTAAATTTCAACAATTTTATGTCAGGAAAATGGTATGGGGGGAAGCTCAATCTCCGTCTCCTCACATGCCATAGTCCTGATCTGAATTTACCCCCATGTGCCTGAGAATACGTTTCAGTTGAGAACTCTCAGAGCACATCTACTTGGCAGGACCCAGGGCCAACTGGGGGATGGACCTAGGGAAAGTGTTAAGTCGCCCGCTTAACAAAGAAGTCGGAGAGTGATTCAGCAAGAACACAACTTTATTCTTCAACTTGAACACAACTCCAACACGGATCAACATCTGATAGCCAAAACAGAACAGTTCAGCTTTTACATTGCAGTTGTCCTGCTTTTGAACTCTTCCGGCTAATGTAGCCACACCCACTGTACAAATACCAACCAATACGGTTGTTCATATGAGGACCAATCACGGACGTTCCCGCTCAGGGACCTTGCTGTAAGGTGATTGGCTAGGTGCTTCCTGGGCTAGCAATGTGATTGGATGGATTTGGATCCTAGCCCAGGACGAAGCTCAACATGGCAAGTCAATTAGATGTTTCATATACATCATGCATTCAATGGCAGCTATTGAATACATTACAGAAAGTGTATTGTAGAACCTAATATGATGGTTGCATTGGGGATTGGTGCAAGATGTAGACAGATCTTACATATCTTCCACACAAAAGTTGTCCTGTAGATGCATAAGTATAGAGAGAGTGAGAGACAAAAGTCTGATTCCACCCACCCCTAAGAATTGTCGCCATAGGTTAGGGATAAGGAATAACTGTAGCCGCTCAGAGACCCCTTCAGGGGGTTAGAGCGGGGTAGCAAGCCGAAGAAATAAATAAATAAATTCTGGAGGACTGATTAATGTGTTACAAAGTCCACCCCTTTATCTTCATTGTAGCTTAGTAGAGATTGGGGGGCCAGTAGTATATGTTCACATCCACCTGTCATGTGGACCTTCATGTGTTCATTTTCTTTGTCAATTATTTTGTGTCCTAAATTCTGCATAAACTTTTTGAGTGTCAAGGCAATCATAGTGAGGCCGCCAAGCATCTTAGGGCTTTTGAGTTTCTGGCTTTTATTTTCTAAACCGTTCATGTTGTCTGTATAATGGAACACACTTGAGACAGGGTTTCAAGAGCAATACATTAGTTGAGGTGAAGGATACAAATCCCTTTCTGTCTAACCATTCAGACACTTTAACTCTTCAAATGATGGAGTAATAGAACCACATCTTCTTTTAATATTTCCCCTTTGCTGTAGGCAATACCTCATTTGGCTCAAACTCAGCAAAAGAATCATGGAAGAAAATCAGTAACTGAATCTTCCCAGAGTGTGATTAAAGACATTAGTTCATCTTCATATATAAAAGGTAAAATATGTTGGATAACAGTATCGGCTAACTAGAGAACAAATTTTATTTTTTCTTCTTGCTTGGGCACAATGACAGAAACAATATGTTGATGTCAAAAACAGGCCTTGAATAATCTGTGCTGTAATATGCAGAGTTGTAGACACTGATTTTTTATATGTTAAATCTCCATAGGCACAAAATCTTCAGGTAGTTCAGAAGAAGCTGCTTTTTTAAATAACCAGAATGATGACATTTTAAGCTCTGCATCCTGGAGTAATGAGGAAATTCAGGTATGCTTATAGATAATTCTGAAGCAGTAACTTTTATGCAGTAAAAGCATGATAGAAAGCTGAGTGCAAAAAAGCCTCCTGGACAAAAAAGTTTTTGTTATTTAACTTATTTAAATTATATCTCTTATGGAAAAACTTCTATTAAAAACAATAGTATGATGGCTTTCCTGCCAACCTAGCAGTTCGAAAGCAAGAAATTGCAAGTAGATAAATAGGTACCACTTTGGTGGGAAGGTAACAGCGTTCCGTGCCCCTTGGTGTTTAGTCATGCCGGCCACATGACCACGGAAATGTCTTCGGACAGCGCTGGCTCTTTGGCTTTGAAACGGAGATGAGCACCGCAACCCTACAGTCGGACTCGACTGGCTTTCGAGCAAGGGAACCTTTACCTTTACCTTTTTATGATGGTTTTAGATATAGTTGGTTCCTCTGTTTCTTTTGTTGGTATAGTTAAAATATTTGTATCCTGCTTCCCTCTACCCTCAAAGGTTCAGAGTGGCTCGCAAAAGTGTGTCTGATAGTATCCAGACCATAATAGTAAAAAAAGTGAATTAAATTCCTGTTAACATTCACAATACCACCTAATTCACCCTAAAAGAGCTCATCCTATACTACACTCAATTCTTTTAAGCATATGGCTTAAGAAATTTCATTTTGCTATCTAATGTTTCCACAGGTGAAAGAGAATATTAACCTCAACAATGCTCATAGGTCTATGAAGTCTGCTGAGCAAGTGACCCCTACAGCTAACGCCAGGAGAAATAGCACAAACCGCAGTGGTAGGAAAACACCTGCAGAAAGTCTTCCTACATTTGAGAATGATGAAGCAAAGGTTTGGTTTCATAATGTTATGTCTGTCCTTCTACCTCTCTGTTTCAGTAATGTTTTCAGTCATTCAACCATGTGCTGAAATAACTTGCATTTCTATTACCTGGTGCTTTACTTACCTCTAGACTTGGCATGGTGCTGAGACATGAAAGGGGTTGGGAGGGGTTAACCCTTCCTACTTAAGCCATTTCCCAGACAGATATCATTTATTTCATTTTCATTTATTTTGTGTGGCTGCGGTCACACGCAACATTAGCCACGCAAGAGATATGGAAGACAGGCGGAGTTTCCGGGCGCGATCTCACCAGCACATCTGGGAAGCGTAGCGCTTCCGTGGCACAACCGAGGCTTCCTGCCGAAAACGCGCAGCAAAAAACTAGTACCTTGGAGGTACTAGTTTCCGGAAACTGCGGGGCAAGGGCGGGCGTCTGATCGCATTTCCGGTGGCATCCGGCGCCCGCCCATGTCCCCTTGCGGAAAAGGTTTCCCCCCCCCCAAGTCTCCGTGGTTGCGCACACGCACCCAACGGAGCATGCGCATTCGTAGTGTACACAAAAAAAGAAAACCAGTTCGCCGCGCCGCGCGCTTCTTCGTTGCGCGCAGGCGTGTGATGTGATCAACACCTCTCCCTAACCACGGAAGCTCCACGGTACCTCTACAGAACCTCCACAGGAGGTCTGATCGCTTAACTGCGTGTTAGTTTGCCCCGGGGCAAACAGCCACGCTTCCCCACCGCAGTTTCCTGCCCGTGTGACCGGGGCCTGTATTTCATTTGTTATGCAAAACAATTGGAACAGAGTACATACATTTTAAAGCTGTAAAAAAATAACAAATGTACCCTACCTTGTTCTAGAATAAACCATTTCATTCTTTCTCACATTTAGGTTGTGTAAGAGATCCCACTGTTTATCAAAAAAATATGCAAATAAATTAACTGTTGGTATATATAATATATATATATAATGTATGTTTGTAGAATTCCTCTCCAAAATCAATATTGTCTAGAAGAACACCGCTATATGTGGAAAGTAAGAAGGATGAGGATGTGAAAGAAAAAATAGAATATCCAGATGGAAAGGTAAAATAATTTTAGATAAATATGAAAAACCAAAAGCAGTAACCTGAATTATGTAACATGTGGACATAAGTAACATGGTGCACTGAGAGCCAAAGTAGAGTCTGACTTCTTTGGCATGTTAAAGAAACTGTGGTGGGGTGGGTATAGGTTTAGAGCCAGTTTGGTGTAGTGGTTAAGTGTGCGGACTCTAATCTGGGAGAACCGAATTTGATTCCTCAGTCTTCCACTTGCAGCTGTTGGATGACCTTGGGCAAGCCATAATTCTGCCAAAGGTTCTTGAAAAGAGCAGTTTCTGTCAAAGCTCTCTCAGCCCCACCTACCTCACAGGGAGGGGAAGTTGTGGGGAGGGTAAGGAGTTTGTAAGCCGCTTTGAGACTCCAAGAGAAGGGTGGGGTATAAATCCAATCTCCTCCTCCTCCAACTCCTTCCCTTTCTCCCATACCTTTTCCCTGATCTTAACCCTGGTTTTTGAGCTTTTACCACAAGCTAACCAATTTTCCTGCTATTATCATACAACTACTAGGGCTTGGTACTTAAAAAAAACAAAACAAAACTAACGAGCCTCAGAATGTCAAATTCTGTGTTTGTTGTTACACAGTTACGCAGTTACACAGCAACAGAATATCTGCACTGACCCAAGATCCAACAGACATTTTGGCATTAAAAATAAAAGTATATATAATTCTGGGAGTAACAAACTGTTTATTTAATAATCATATCACTTGATAGAGGACACTTTTTGCTAGTAAGAAATTCTGCTGTTTTCATGAAAGGCTTTACAACCTCTGAATGAATTCTTATCAGTAGGGTGTCATTTAGAAACATGGGGTTTTTCTGCATGTTCCCCCCCCCCCATTCCATACTACTATGATTTATCCCTGACTGCTGCATGTATATTTGTGCATTCACTTCTTTTTTTGTCATCCCCCCCCCCATTTCTTTTAAGACCTCTTTCACCCTGATCTCTTTCTGGAAGCTGATTTAGAGTTGCCTTTTTCCTCATGTGTAATGTTTCTGTCTGTTTCCTTTGTCCTGCCCTCCCCCACCCACCTCAAGCCCTTTTTTTGAGTTATCGGACTGTCATCATTGTCAAACCACTCCGTCTCCTCCCGCCAAAGACAAATGGTTTTGTTTTAATTTTTTTTAGAAAAGGCGCTAAAATAACGATATATCAGCATACCATTGTAATGATAGGTTAAGCAGGTTCTCTGAATTCCCAGCTTTCATTTAAAAAAAAAAAAAAAGTAAGTATTGCCTTTTTTGCAGAGATATGCCTTTTTCCTAGAGATTGAATTCTTTTAAAAATGAAAACTGGAATTTCAACTAACCTACTTAACCTATCATTACAGTGGTCTATTGATATTTTAGTGCTTAAAAAACATGTAGCCATGATATCAATACAAGCATGCACAAGAGGATAAAGGGTATGGTGTGACAGCACCCTCCCTTGAAAATCCTGATTATTTATAAGGCACATGTGGAAAAAAATAAACTGACTCACAACTGTGAAAATGCAAAGGAAGGGTAGAAATGCAGAAGAATCCTACCCTAACTGATCACAGTGCTTATAGATCAACTCCCAAGAAAATAAGGAGTAAGTTGAGCGTGTGGAAAAGCCCACAAGCTAGATAGCCAATATTGACAGTACTTATTTTCATGGCACCTCTTCATGGGTATTCATACGAATTGTTGTTCTGTTGTGAGCTCTGATGACTCAAGCCCTGGTTACTCAACCAAAGGAGACCCTCTGTGACATCAGAGCAACTAATCCAATGGTAATCAGAAAGGTTATGACACCTCTGCTTTCCATAACCCATTCAAGTATCACAAAATATCTGGCTGATCATAGGGTTGCCACACTCCAGGTGATGGCTGGAGATCTCCTGGGATTAAAACTGATCTCCAGGCAATATAAATCAGTTCACCTGAGAAAATGGCTGCTATGGCATCAAACCCAATTGAAGTCCTTTCTCTCCCCAAACCACACCCTCCTCAGGCTACACCCCCAAAATCTGGAGTTGGCAACCCTAGCTGATCAGTCAGTTGCATCAAGACTGGCAGAAGTTACTGATACCTAGCTTTCAGACTTCAGAAGTAAGAGAGTCAATAGATATTAGTTCTATGGAAAAAACAACATACTGACTGGCAGCTGGTTCCATCCATAATCACTTTCAGGACCAAAGCACACATTATGTGGGAGATCTAGCTATGGAAATTCCTTTTTAAAAAGGTATTGACACACTATTATATGGTTAGCCTTGGGATAATGCTAATTCAGCATGCCTGATAACTGCAGGCCAAACAGGAGAGCTACCATTTGGACACTGTCTTAACTAGACGCTGTTCTGAAGTGCTAGACAGCTGGTTTCGTGTGACACACTCATCAGCTGCAGAAAATGTTCACCGGATGCGTTCCCCAGCTGCTCATTGAGAGGTCTTGGATGATTTCCCAGGAGCTCTCTGTGTGAAGTGAAGCTAACTTCTTTTTGGAGCTGGCATGCATGCAATGGGGTCACGTTATGTGGAAATAAAACTGCTGCAGACATATGTTCCAGCCATATGGTAATTCATCAAAGTGCAATTTGGAGTCTTCCACAGAGAGTTGGAAGCCTCCAGGGGAGGTGCGGATTATGCTGACTTGTGGGATAGAATTTTTAATGTAATTTGTGCCAGTCACAGATCTTAAATCAGCATAAGTGAGTGGCAGCAGGATGTCCCTTTGCTCGGAAGCTTTTAAAATACATCATGTGGCTGCTATTTGCACATCATTTGAAAAGCAGTGATTTCCCCCCCCCCCCTTAGAGCGCTAACTCCCCCTTTCTTGCCTATTGATCTTTGTCCTGAAAAATATATGTAGAAATGGACCATGTATAATTGTACACAAACATAATGACTGTAGTTTTGAACAGTAGCCTTGGCTTACACTGAGAATAGAATTCCATTCCCCCTGGAAGGCTCTGGAGAGCCTATCCTGCGAGCAATGCTCCCTCTAAGCTGCGGAGTCTTGTGAGTAAAAATTCTACTTAGTGAGCTACTGGCATTAAAGTTGTGAGCGAGCGATTTGACTACTGCATAAATTAGTGTGCTCTGGAGCCATCTTTCCTGCGCTAAGACAAAAATGTGTGAGCTGGCGGCTAAAAAACTGAGCTAGCTCACACTGACTCAGCCTAGAGGGAACACTGCCTGTAAGTGAGCCTGCCTGCATGTAGGCACTCCTTAAAATGGCAATCTGGGGCACCTACCTGCAATCAAATTCAGTAGTCCTGTGCTGATCATTGTGCACCTGCATTGCAGATACGCAAAGAGTAGCACAGGAATGAAGGACGACAGCACAAGCATAATAAGAAGTAGGATAAAAAAACTTTGATCTAAGTCATATTCCCACCACCTCGGTGCGAAGGTAACAGCGTTCCGTGCGCCTTGGTGTTTAGTCATGCCAGCCACATGACCACGGAAACATCTTCGGACAGCGCTGGCTCTTCGGCTTTGAAACGGAGATGAGTACCGCAACCCTAGAGTCGGACTCGACTGGCTTTCGAGCAAGGGAATCTTTACCTTTACCTTTAAGTCATATTCACACTATTGTGGGGCTTCCCAGCCATAGCAGGGCCTCAGAAGGCGAATCCTTTGGCTTTTATCTTGTGGGGTGTCCTAAGTCCCCAAGATTACCCCTTGGGGGTCTACCTCATCACTAGCCTCTGGAGCAGTCTTTCACCCATCTCAGCATATTGCTTCATCCAGGATTCAGAGTCTTATTCGGTGTTTCCTCATATCAGAATTTCGGTAGTACACCCACTCTTGCAACAATAGTTTTTTGAAAGGCCTTGACCATTGCCAAGTTCAAGGCCCAAGAAAGCTTTACCAGGAAATCTCAGTAGCCTCTGCAAGAAACTGTTCTCTCACTAGATCCTCACCACTCTCCATGGACTCTGCCCACTTCCAAGCATTATTTATATGCGTCGTAACTGCAACAGTGTCACTTCAAATCTTGGCAGCCTGCTGGGTATTACTTCCAGTTTGTCAGAAGGTGCCGATGACTGTCCCCCATGGCTAGTGGCCACCACCACTCCCCGTAATGTTCTATCACAACGATAAACATATATTTTGTTTTATGTCAACTGTTTTAACTGTCATGGTAGTATAATTGTCCTCAAAAGAATTCTGGGAATTCGGATTCGGTGAAGGGGCTGAGAATTCATTTTTATTTTTTTTTAATAAAGATTTTATTGGCTCCCCTAAAAAGGGGAGGTATTTCGCTTAAAAGAAAAAATGGGAAGGGTAGACAGTGGGAGAGAGAGAAAGCTGAGTGATATATAAACTGGTAAATTAAACTGTTAGTAATGTCCAATTAATCTTCTTGGGCTTCTTCTGTGTGTTGTCAAAGTTCTTTTCTTAGTCCTGTCACATGTAGTTCTCTGTTAGTATATTAGTAATGTTCCTTTGAATTTCTGTTAATAAAAAAAAATCTCTTCTGTGCACATTCAGAACCGCTTCTTTGCGTGCTGGGTACTTTTACTATCGCTGACGTGGAGGAGCTTCCTCTGTTGTCTTCTCCTTCCGGCTTGTTAGATCCTCCTTCGGGTTTTAATACTCTCAGTTCATGCACTATAAATCCTCTTCTTTTCATGCCATTACCGGAGGTCCCCAGTTTTGAGAATGGTATTAATTTCATTTTCGCTTTTATATCCGCTCCCAAACTTTCTATGGGTCCTCCTTGCAATTGTTGACTTATATAAGCACTTGCCAGGCACTTCTCGCTGTCACAATTCAAACTTTTCCGTTTTACAAATCTCCCGTCGGATTCACAGCCATAAACAGTCCAAACATTCAACAGCCGGCTCTCGCACACAAGTAAACGCCCAGACGGAAGTCCCTCCCTTCTTCTCCGCTCGCTTTTGCCCAGCTCCGACATCTTTTTCTTTTTTGTTTACTTTTAGAAAGTTCTTAAAATGTGCTCCAGAGAGACAAAACTTTTTCCCACTTTGTTTCAAATACATCAAAGGAAAACATCACTGTCCGCTCAATCCATTCCCCCCCTCCTTTTCTTTTTCGCTTATGCAAATGGAGGGTTAACCTCTTCGCCTTTTTCGCTGGGAGGGGGGGAAACGTTTTTAGTTCTTTTTCTCTGCATTTTGACAACTCACAGTTAAGCCGATCTTTTCTTTTCTTTTTCCATTTTTGCGGATGGGCGCTTTATCACTCGGTGACGTCTGGTGGCTCCGCTAAACCCCGTTCGGGGTCACTCACGCAGCAAGGTCCATTGGGGCAGGGCATGGCGAGAGCCTCAGTCTCCGACCTCTCGGCCGAAAGAGCGACTCCCCCCTAGTGCACCCTAAAGCGCCCCGGATCCGAGCTCCTCTCTCCTGAGGTGCTCGTTCGGGTCTCCGCTCGCGCGGATTCCCTCCTCCACCGCGGGCGGGCGAGGCGCCCTCGGGAGCGACCCGAGGATGCGTCCGCCATTCGCGGGAGCCAGACCGGAAGCCGAGAATTCATTTTTAGAAATCCCTAGTTCTCCTCACACAACAGTTGTTTCCAGTCTTCCCTGTGGAGAGGGAACAACTGTCAAACCTGTTTAAATGGAGTGCAGACATGCCCTTCTAGGGCTAACCTAAAACTGGTGTACTTGTATTTAAGCTAATTTAAAGTCCAGTCTTAAACTTTTGCAGTGTTTACATTTGTTCCATGGAACGTGATGCACTGTGGTGATGCATTAATGCCTCTCCTTACCTTCGGAGCCCTTAGGAACAATATTCATTAGTTATTCATCCATTACGCTCTGCAGAGAACAACCTACTGCCCAAAAGGTGTCCAGCTGTCCTCATCTTCTTAGTCCTGGCTCCTACCTGATGGAACTCTCTTCCGAATAACATCCTTACCCTACGGGACCTAATACAGTTCCGCAGGGCCTGCAAGGCAGAGATGTTCTGCCAGGTTTTTGGTTGAGGGCAGCCATGGATACCATCCTACTGGCACTCCCTCTCACCCCTGCTTCCTCTCTACCTCCCCTGCGAGACAATGATACGATTTGAAATTACAATATTTTAGTGCCATCTGAGAATGTTTTAGTCATATTTTATTTAAACTATTGGAATTGTTTCATTAATTTATGAATGTTTTCACGGTTGTTCAATGCCCTGAGCCCTGTGTATTCAGGAAAGGGTGGTCTATAAATGTAAATTATAAGTAAATGTAAATTATCTTAGAAGGAATGGAATTAGAATCTATTTGAATCCAATCACTCCAGTTTAATTGGTTTGTAACTGCAGGCTGTGTATATGTGTGTGTGAAAGACAGAGAAGATGTACTCTCACACATTTTGTCTTTGTTTTAAAGGTAGAACAGCTGTTTTCTGATGGACGCAGAATTATGACTTTCCGCAATGGCACAAAAAAGGAGATCAGTGCTGATAAAAGGACCACTGTTCTTACTTTTTTCAATGGAGACATTAAGAAGATCCTGCCAGATGAGAGAGTGGTATATGCATTTTTTATTTCATTTTTGCTTTGTAGAGGACTTTAAACAGCATTAGACCTGGAAGCATCTGTCATTTGTGTAGTGGAGACAAGGAGAAAATTCGGCTCATGCTACAGGGAAAAACACTGTACCAGCTCCTGTTTTGAGGCAGACCTGTACATGCCTTGAGATTTTATCTGGAGTGGCTTTTTAGCTCATTCTTCCAATGTCATCCATTAATTTTCCCTTGGTTCCCATATCCTTCCTTATATTGGGTACAAAATTCATAATCTTTGCTAAAAACTTCATAGAAGAGAGTGCTTGAGTCAGTGGGCAAGGAGGAGGAGAAGCAGGATGATGCGGCCTCACTGAGTAGCATTTGTGTCCCGTCGGGGCATGGGCTCTGGTAGGTGCCTCATGATCCCAGTCCCTGACACTGGCCCGGCGTATACATTTCCCTGCTTCCACATTAGTGGTAGGAGCTGCGGTGGCTCAAGTGGTTAAGACGCTGAACTGCAGGCTGTGGAAGGTCAGTAGTTCAGCAGTTCAAGACCCGAGTGCCGCAAGACGGGGTGAGCTCCCATTTCTAGTTCCAGCTCCTGCCAACCTAGCAGTTCGAAAGCAAGAAATTGCAAGTAGATAAATAGGTACCACTTCAGTGGGAAGGTAACAGCGTTCCATGCGCCTTGGTGTTTAGTCATGCCGGCCACATGACCACGGAATCATCTTCGGACAGCGCTGGCTCTTCGGCTTTGAAACGGAGATGAGCACCGCAACCCTAGAGTCGGATTCAACTGGCTTTCGAGCAAGGGAACCTTTACCTTTTACATTAGTGGTACAAACACTGGCATTTTCACACATGGCTCTAAAAAGCACATTTGAGCCTCAATCACATTATTTGTGCCATATGTGAATGTTAAGTTGGGATAGAAAAAAGAATAAAATGGAGGAATGAAGAAGAACTATGAACTTCTTGAGGACAGGGCAGGACAATTATACGATACTAGAGAAATTGAGTTATGTTATTGCCAAGTGCATGTTTTACATTGACAGTGCAGACTGATAAACACATAACTATTTACCTCATGAGTGAGAAGTCAGAAGCTTGAAACACTGCTAGGCAACTATATTCTCCATGTTAAGTATTTTTGATCCCATAAAGATATTCCAGAGGTTCTTTTTTCCATGTGGCAAACAATGAGAAAAGAAGTGAAATCTATTTGTGTCACAAATGTCATTGAAAAGACATACTCTGCTTTAACTGTTAAAATTTTATATCCAAGGTGCCTTTTAACACTCAAGAAATCTTCGTATTCTCCCCTGCAGATTTACTATTATGCAGATGTTCAGACGACTCACATCACTTACCCAAATGGCATGGAGGTGCTACAGTTTCCTAATCAACAGATTGGTATGAGATGAACTTAAAAAAAACACCCTTACAATTAATTTTTTAAAACTATTCTTTTTTCAGATATATCTCATGGGTTTATGTAACTCGATGTTTAATCTTACAAACTGCTCCCCCCAGAAAAACATTGTATATATTTTCACCAAAACAGAAGCAACAACAACAACAAAAAAGGAATTGATGTATTTCTATCCGTGTTTAGGGAGGCAAGACAGTTTGATATAGTCCAGCCTCACCAGATCTCAGAAGATAAGCAGGGTGGGCACTTGGCACAGAGACCGCCAAGGAAGTCTGCACAGAGGCAGGCAATGGCAAGCCACCTCTGATTCTGCCTTGCCTTGAAAGCCCCTTGCTGGAGTCTACATAGGTCAGCTGTGATATGAAGGCGTTTTACATACACACATCCTTGTTTAAGACATTTTACACACGGCATACTGATGCAGTGTCACATAGTGGATAAATTGGGTCCTTTTTTCAAATTCTCTACTTCCAAGTTGATTTTTATTTCTACTAAAGTATGCCATTAAAAAAAAAAATGTTTAGATCTTCAACAACATTGTATTTAGGGAAGCTTGTAACTAGAACATCAGATCTAAGTCAAGGAGTTCATGTCTGCAATCCAGAGCACACTTCGGGCTATTTCAGACATGTCAAAATTCTATCATGGGAGGCACTTGCAGGTTAGAAATAGTATGTAATCTGAGTGTAGATTGTTGGAAGGAATGAACTGTGCCGTGTCGCTTAATGCTAACACAGGCTTTAGAGTCTCCTGGGAGAGCAGTAGAGAGTTAGTACAGAGATAGATAGGGGGCTCGGTGACCTTTCTTTTGTCTGCTTCTGTTGCTGTCCCTTTGTTACACAAAGTGCTACTTTCAGGGGTTCCTTCCTTCCAGGCACGTCCCTTCTCATTCTCTCATCCTCTGTCCACTGTGAGGGCTGGGCATGCCTCCTACAATCTCTCTCCATCAGAAGCCTTTACTTTTCCTTTCTTGTCTAGTATAGAGTTCTCTCACAATAAAGAACGTCTATTTCTTTTCTAAGTAACAAGCCTAAGTGTGGACTTATTCCTCAAGCAATCAGACTATAGAATCCTGCTGTGTAACGACTGGGAAGGCATGGCCACCCATACTTCTAAGGACAGTTTTCTTTTTCTCAGAAAAATACCATCCAGATGGCACCAAGGAGATTGTGTTTCCTGACCAGACTATTAAACGACTGTATGATGGAGGTCTCGAAGAAACTGTTTTCCCGGATGGGACAGTTGTCAAAGTAGAAAAGTAAGTAATGGAAAAGAAAGAAAAGTAAGTAATGGAAAGAACATGAATCAGGCATCAGGTAAGGAGCACTTGGAGCAGTTTGGTGTAGTGGTTAAGTGCACAGAGTAAGGAGCAGTTTGGTGTAGTGGTTAAGTGTGCGGACTCTAATCTGGGAGAACTGGGTTTGATTCCCCACTCCTCCACTTGCACCTGCTGTATGACCTTGGGCAAGCCGTAGTTCTGATAAGAACTGTCATTGAAAGGGTAGTTCTTGAAAGAGCTCTCTCAGCCCCACCTACCTCACAGGGTCTGTTGTGGGGAGGGGAAGGGAAAGGAGTTTGTAAGCCGCTCTGAGACACCTTTGGGTAGTGAAGGGTGGGGTATGGATCCAATCTCCTCTTCTTCTACTACTATTTGACAGAAGGGTTGATCTTGACATGCCGTATCAGTCACTGACCCTGACCTGGATGGTCCAGGCTAGCCTAGTCCCATCAGATCTAGGAAGCTAAGCTCAGTCATCCCTGGTTAGTACTTGAGTGGGAGAACACAAAGGTAAACCCAGGGATGCTACACAGAGGTAGGCAATGACAAACAACCTCAGTTCATCCCTTGCCTTGAAAACCATAAGTCAGCTGCAATTTGACAGCATGCGTTACTGGCCATGGCTAGTTCCACACGACCTGTCTAATCTGGAAATGCCACAATTCATCCACTCTTTTTTATGGACAATCTGTTGTTATCAATCCACTCTATCCCATCATTTTATGTGCTGTTTTCCCATGTTTTTCAGACCTGATTGGATTTTTTTTTTAAACTTAAAATTACCATATTGATGCAATATGTCCTGTATGACACTGATGTGCCAATCTTGACTGGGTGAAGAAGTAGAGTGCCGCTTCCTTATGTTTTCTATCAGTGCAGTACACGAGTTTGTGTGTTATGTTGGTTGTTGGTGCTGAGGGACAACAGATGTTGAACAGCTAGTGCGTATCCTACCTCAGCCTTTGTGGTGGCAGACCAAGATGGGCAGCTGTGTTTGTCTGTAGCCGTAGAAGACAGCAAGAAAAAAGAAAAAGAAAAAGCAACAGAAAAGAGTAAGAGTCCAGCAGCACTTTAAAAACTAACTATATTTGTGGCAGAGTATGAGCTTTCATAAGTCACTGCTTACTTCCTCAGACTCACAAAAGCTCATAGGTAAAGGTAAAGGTTCCCTTGCTCGAAAGCCAGTAGAATCCGACTCTAGGGTTGCGGTGCTCATCTCCGTTTCAAAGTCGAAGAGCCAGTGCTGTCCAAAGACATTTCCGTGGTCATGTGGCCGGCATGACTAAACACCAAGGTGCACGGAATGCTGTTACCTTCCCAAGTGGTACCTATTTATCTACTTGCAATTTCTTGCTTTCGAACTGGTAGGTTGGCAGGAGCTGGAACTAGAGACGGGAGCTCACTCTGTCATGCGGCGCACTCGGGTCTAGAACTGCTGAACTACCGACCTTCCACAGCCTGCAGTTCAGCATCTTAACCACTTGAGCCACCGCAGCTCCCTCACAAAAGCTCATACCTTGCCACAAATTTTGTTAGCCTTTAAGATGCTACTGGACTCTTGCTCTTTTTTGTGGTGACAAGTTGTATAATTTTAAGCAACATATTCCTTTTTCTTTATCAAATGGCTCACAGATGACCTGCTTGCTACAGTAGAGAAAAGCAACTGCTAAAGCCAGACAGTAGTCTGTATATGCCGTAACTGTGACAACATTTGTGAATACCTGATTCAGATTATAAATTGCTCTTGACCTTATAGTTTCAAAGGGCCTTTTTCAAGCATTCAATTCTAGGCAGTGCCAAAAACAGGATATTGTGCTGTCTTAATGCAATGGCTTGTGTAAAGTATTTGCTGCTGGAAACTTTGTCAGCATGAATGAAGTTCCTGTGGGCTTCACTACTTTGAGGCTTCATGGTTTATTTATTGCTCTACAGGAATGGAGCTAAAACCATCTTGTTCAGTAATGGGCAGAAGGAGATTCAAACTGCACAGTTCAAGAGAAGGGAGTACCCTGATGGCACTGTAAAGACTGTGTATGCTAATGGACATCAGGAAATGAAGTATTCTTCTGGACGGATTCGAATCAAAGATGAGAAGGGGAGGGCTCATCCTTGATCAAAAGTGACCCATGTCATCTTCTTTGTTCTTTGTGCATGTGTTTACATCGTTCAAAGTAGTTCCTGTCTGAGATGTGCTCTTGTCATTACACTGTGGATGACATTGTTTTAAACACGTGTTCTTTCTCCGATTTTCTGTTTCCCCTACAACAAAATGGTGAATCAGATGTTTGGCAGTGAAAAGAAATACTGGAGGATAAATACACTGTTTTCTGTTTAAATGAGGTTTTTAAGCATCTACATTCCCTATCAAACCAGGCATTTATAGGTCTACTACTCCCCCTATTTCCACTCTCAAGTTCTTTGCCCAGTGACGTAGATATGTGAGATGTTAAACCATTATAGGCTATGATCATTGATGAATGTTCATTTGCATCAATTAAAGAGGAGCTATACTTTAGAAGTAGGTTTGATTTGAGTAGTTGTTGGGTTTTTTGCATAGAGCTATCATTCCATAACATCCTAGGCAATAGATAGATGCCTGCCGAGTTTATCTGGCGATCTTTGGAGTACCTTGTAGAGGTAAAAATAGGTGGGAGTGGCGGGATATAAATCCAAGGATAAATAAAAATAATTTCTATAGCCTTAAAGAATATTTTATGATCGTTGCCTACTCTAGCATTAAAATTGCCTGCCAGAATTATTTCAGCCATGGGATGTTCTTCTTATAGTCTTCCTAGAAAAGTAGTTAGTCATTTCCAATGTTGGGCAAGAGTTAATCTGTCTAGGGAGTTGGGAACATATATATTCACAATAATCAAATTAAGTTTATCAAGGACAAGCTTAATAGCTTCTTCAGTGGGGCTATGCGATTGTAACATAACAATTTCTACTTTTAAATATAAAGAAACAAACAGAGCCAGACCCACCTGAAAGCGACCCTTGGGGTTAATCCTATAACCTGGGAGGGAAAAGGATTTATACCCCTCAATCTGAATCTGATTTGGTGACCAGGTTTCCTGAAGGAGTATAATATCAAAATCATTAAGGTAACTTAGAAATTCAACATCCTTGGCCTTATTTCGCCAGCTGGGCACATTCCAAGAGATAATCTTAATATCCAAAGTAGTAGAAAATTTAGATGATGGTGGTGTAGAAGAATTTATGAGTCAGTCTCCTTTGGTTAGTTGTTCAAGGGTGCTGTTGGTGTCATAAAACACAGACCCATTGCTCATACCTCTTGATAATGTTCTTGATTAATTGGCTTGTGCTTGGCCACACAATGTCTCCCTTACTGCTCAGGGGGAGATTCTTAGCCGTTATTGAGGACATATGAATTTCAGCTTGTATGAATGTCTCTGAGTTTCCCTTGAGTTCCGGTTGGACTTCTGTAGTAGAAGTTAAATTGATCAGTGGAGAAGAAGGGGAGTTATGGTAGGGCATATCTGGGCTGTTTTTATAAAGGCTTGTTTTGGCAGCATCCGATCTGTCTGCAGTCACTGCTTGCTCCCTGGTATCTCCTAGCGTCAGAAGCTTTGTTGTCACTGTCTCCAGTCTGTTGACTATCGCACCTTGAACCTCTTTTGGGAAATTTGGAAAAGTTTTTATCAGGTCATCCTCCAAGGAGTTATCAAGGTTTATGCCTTCATGCACAGACTGATGGAAATAACTTATCTGAAGATTTAACCCCCCCCATGGACTGGATTCATAATTGGAGCCTTCTCCCCCCGACAAGAGAAGTCCATTGGATCAGGCAGCAGGGAGATCAGATCATGCCCCCCTTTAGTCTCTTTATGTTTCTTGGCCAAGAGTGGTACAGGTTTCAGTGTATTTAAAAAGGCACGGGCTGGTAAGATCCCCTTGCTCTTAAAAGTTGCACTCTGCTTCATTATTGAAGATGGGATCCTCACACTGGAAAATGTGAGAAGGACCCTCTGCACCTGGTTTGGTTGGCTGATTATTTCTAGCTCTTTCAAATCAATTCCAAGAGTATTCAACTTAAGTAGTAGGCTCAGATGATGTAACACCTTCCTTTTTGTATTCCATAAGGGTAATCCACCTCGGTATGTAAAAACTGACAAACATTTTTTTTTGGCTAAAGGATCAAATGGAGTCTAGAGCTTTCATTACTCTCCTTATGTGACAAAGGGGAGTCTGCTGAGGTCTCTTTACTCCTTGATGGGACGAAGACATTTGGAGGCATATTAGCAGAGCTTACACAGCAACCAGGCTAAATCTCTTCGGACTTCTCGAACTTCTCGAACTTCTCATTAATTCCATTTAAATGTTCCAAAATATGTGTCACAGCCTTGAAAGTCAAGTCTATTAACTTGGCCAACATTCTTTCATCATGACAGCAGATATCTTCATCATTTAAAGAAACAGTCTTTGTTGCTGTAACTTCCGGCTTTTCAACTCTCCCTCTCTCTTCAGCTAGAATTACATATTTATTTGAAGTTGGAATATTATAAGCAACACTTTCTGGGGAAAAGTCAGCTATCTTAGTCTGCTTGCCAGGGGAGAGATTCCTTCTCCGTCTCTGAGGCTTTTTGGGCATTTTCCAACACTCATTACAGTTTTCTTTATGGCAATCAGGCTCAGAAACTTTCAACAGCTGATAAGCAGTAGAGATAGAGTCACCACTGAAGATATATCCGAGTATCTGAAAACCTGACAGAAATAAGAGGAATTAATTAGGAGTCAACTTGCAGGCCTCCTTTTTCGCTGAGTCACCTGTCTCTCCAATTAAAAAGGCATAGGATGGGAACAAAAGAAAGAAAACAGGTAAGGTTGTCAAGGCTGCCAAGTCCTTTGATAAAAACGTAAAAGAACTTAAAAATAACTACTTTGAGTAACATTAAAAACGGTTAAAAGCAATTTAAAATATCTTAAAACACTTAGCATTTCAGGAGACAAGGGAACAGCTGTCTGCAGCTGATGCCCACCAGTACCGGAAAAGCTGAAGTATAAATGAGGCAGGGAGTGTTTGCTGCTGTAGGTGACTCAAATCCACACCAGCTCATGAAAAGAAAGGAGAAGAGAAAGATACAGAAAAGTTTTGAGGGGAGAATTAAAGAGAGAGTAGTTGGAAGAGAGAGGTCCTGCAAGAGTATAAGAGTCCACCGCTCTTAACCACTACACATCACCAGCTTCTGTGATAGTTTGTCTGTTGTTGAGGTTGATTATGTATTTGAATGTGTTAGGAGTTTTGTTGACTGTTGTTGTTTGAAGCAATTTTAGGTTTTTTCCCTCCTGAAGGATGTGAATGTATGTTAGAAATTTTAAATAAATAATGCTATGTGTTGAGTGCACTTTTATGCTAATAGAAGGGGTGGGGAAATTGCCCCCTCTACCTGCAGATCCCCAGTTTGCCTCTCGTGCTGCTTTTGTCTCCCACAAGGAGCATTTTGGGGACACTGGTGAGCTGCGGTGGCAGACAGGAGTGTTCTGTTCCACTATTAGAAGTTCAGTGAGTGAGCAGAAAAGTTATTCTGTGCCAACCCACTGTGTAGAGGTTTTTTAAAAACTCTGCACAGATGTTTGGGTTTGAGTAACATTAAAAACTGTTAAAAGCAATTTAAAATATCTTAAAACACTTAGCATTTCAGGAGGCAAGGGAACAGCTGTCTGCAGCTGACGCCAACCGGAACTCGATCTCCCCAGCCCAGTAGTAGCCAACAACTAAACATAGATAAGAGACTCCTTAACCTTATAAAAAAGCTATACACATCAACAAAATGCCAAATCAAATGTTCACTAACAGGGAAATTAACTTCAAAAATCCCGTCAAATAAAGGAGTCAAACAAGACTGTATATTAGCACCCTTTCTGTTCAATCTGTTCCTTAATTATCTTTCCCCTTACCTCAAAACTGTTGATTGCCATGCTCCTAAACTGGGTCCTGTCCATGGCCCTCTACTATTATATGTGGATGACATGGTACTATTGTCCTGCTCCAAAGTTGGTTTAAACTAAATAGATTCATATTTTATAACAAATAGATTACTTTTAAACCATGAAAAATAAAAAATACTTGTCTTTCCCAAAACTTGGAAACCATTCAAATGGACAATTGGAGGCAAACCAATTGAACAAGTTAAAAATTTTAGATACTTAGGTCTGCACTTCCAGTATAATTCATCTTGGTCTGTGCAGCGTAATTCAGCGATAAATATGACCAACATAAATGCTTCTGCCATTTCCTGATTCTTCTACACCAGAGGCAATCAATTCATACCAGCTGCATTAAAAGTCTTCAGGGCCAAAGTAATCCCCTGACATGTATGGTATTCCAATATGAATAAGTGCACTTAATGGCACAATCAGGGGTCATTTCGTAGAAAAAGAGGTGCAGGAGCTCATTAGCATAACTTATTTGCATATGCCACACACCCTGACATCACTGGAAGTGTTTCAGAAGGCAACACCTACCACTCAGGCTCCACTGGACTGTTTTGGATTGCTAGCTATGGGGGGGAGGGAACATGCAGATCTGTCCTCACAGAGGAGGGAGAGCTTGTACCTGAAGGCGGGCCAGGGGGGGCTCTGCAATTTACCTGGCTGCTTCTTGCTCCTCGTGACCCAACTGAGGGCTGCTGGGAGCAGGGGGCGGGGCTTGTTGCATGTGCCCGCCCCCTGGGCTCCTTACTGCTGGAGCTCCGCTCCTGTGTGCTTCCGCAGGAAATGACCCCTGGGCACAGTAGAACGTGTTCAATCTAAATTTCTTCGAAAGATCATGGGAATGCCGTGTTGTGTACCTTATGCAGCCTTGTGTTTAGAAACTGGCTTAAATTCTGTGGAATCTGGTGCATGGCTAATGACAGTAAAATATTGGCTGCGTTTACATTACAGTGTAGACCAAGGGAGCCTTATACAACAAATGCTCACAGAGTCAATCATGTCTAACTGGCTATCACACATTGAGAACAAAATAACTGCCATGGGCATCCCATTGGACTCACTGCTTATGCTCCCTTTTATGGGTGCTTTATGGTTAAACACAGAGTCGTTGACATTGAAACACAAAGGCTATACAGCTTAGCCAGCAAATCTTGCTCC